TCTGTTGTTGATTTCTCTATGTTAATGTGCTGATAACATATTTATTTAATGCTATAAAGTCTCAGACAAGTTATGCCAATAGAGAACATAGAATACTGTTGTATATTATTGTCTTGAGAGTCTGCTAAGATTTACATACATACATTTTTGTTCTTTGTCATTTGAGATACTTGTGCATTGTTTGCCAACCAGTCAAACCGCCTGTCAAGAAGCAGGAACAGATGGCTATCCAGCCTCTGTTTAAAAGCCTCCAAAGGAGGAGCCTCCACCACACTCTGGGGCAGAGAGTTCCACTGCTGAACAGCTCTCACAGTCAGGAAGTTCTTCCTAATGTTCAGGTGGAATCTCCTTTCTTGTAGTTTGAAGCCATTATTTCGTGTCCTAGTCTCCAGGGCAGCAGAAAACAAGCTTGCTCCCTCCTCCCTATGACTTCCCCTCACATATTTATACATGGCTATCATGTCTCCTCTCAGCCTTCTCTTCTTCAGGCTATAAATGCCCAGCTCTTTGAGCCGCTCCTCATATGGTTTGTTCTCCAGACCCTTGATCGTTTTAGTCGCCCTCCTCTGGACACATTCCTGGAGGGCTTGGGCAGAAGACAGAAACCAAATATGGGGTGAGGCCAACAAAGGGAGTTTGAGAAGAGAAGACAGACTGGCATGTAGTCCAACTTTCCAAAGTTCTGAACCACAATACTTAAATGAGACCTCCATGTTCACACACCTCTGGGTATTGAATAATGGGGCAAAGCAGTAAGGAACTGTCAATGTGTTCACCTCTTGTAAACATTGGGAAAAGGATGCTGACCTAGGTCTGATCCATTAGGGTTCCAGTTAAGGACTTTCTCACACTGGAATATAATCTGTTTATATCAGTATGCATCCCATCTTTTTAAAGGACTGGATGCATACTGTATTGCAGGGGTAGGGAACCTTTGGCCCTCCAGCTGTGGTGGACTTCAACTCCCACAATTCCTTGAGGCTCGGCATTCGCCCCAAAGGCTTACCTTGGCCCAATGCCGAGCCTCAAGGAATTGTGGGAGTTGAAGTCCACCACACCTGGAGGGCCAAAGGTTCCCTACCCCTGCTGTATTGAGATGCATACTCTCCTCATCACACCTGATTATTATGATTCTTATGATTTGAAAATATTGAGCTTTGACTCATCACACCACGGAAGGCTGGCTCCTCCCAATCCATTCAAAACACCCGCTATGACAGTGGTTCTCAACCTGTGGGTCCCCAGATGTTTTGGCCTTCAACTCCCAGAAATCCTAACAACTGGTAAACTGGTTTGGATTGCTGGGAGTTGTAGGCCAAAACACCTGGGGACGCACAGGTTGAGAAGCACAGCACTATGACCTTTTAAAAAGTATTGTTGCTGATGGGATGCATACAGATTTTCCTATCACACATACAAGCAGCACTTCAGCAATGCATTAATCTGTAATATTTCAAATATAATCTGCAAATAATCTGTTTCTGCGATGCTTTGCAGACGGATTCTGATGGAATATTGACAAGATGGGGCAAACATCATGTGATGGGACCCATTCGAAATCATTCTCAAACAGTCTCAGAAACGGAGTATTCACTAATATGATAAGGTCCTAAGTTCTTGAACTCTATTAACAGTTTTTCCTCCATTTCCCACAGAAGGCTCCACTGCACCCGGAATTATATACATCTGCATTTATTTGTCTCATTCATGCTCAGAGCTACCAGCATTTTTATTAAAGACAAAGTTGTTCATACTCATATAGGAGCAAAAGAACTTGATGCACTATTTGTGGGCGACCTGCAAAATGTTATAGTGGCTCCGATCACAGACAAGTCTCAGTACGTAAGTACTTCTCCCTTTATTCTACTCTGTGTTATCCAAATGGGATTACTTATAAATATTCTCTTGCCTGGCTAATAGGAGGGAGTGCTTTCAAAGTGACAGAACTTTATGGTTGCCTCAAGCCTTTGATCATCCAGTATTTATTCCTGCATCCAGGCTGTCTAATTTTGGTTACAATGCATAGTACAAGTTTGTTCCAGGTTTCTGAGAGATCAATGTAAAACTCTAGATAGTGTTGCCTTTCAGCAGACTTAGGGCCTTTCCACCCAGCCATATAACCCAGAATATTAAGGCAGGAAATCCCACAATGTCTACTTTGAACTAGAATATATGACAATGTGGATTCAGATAACTTGGTTCAAAGCAGACATTGTGGGCTTTTCTGCCTTGATATTCTGGGTTATATGGCTAGGTGGAAGGGGCCTCAGAATAGTTTTTTATACTATACTCACACAGGAATCAGTTAGTGCATGCTGTGTTATGTGTAAATATATCCTTAGTATAGCTCCGGTAGTATTTACCACTTGAATCAATATTGCTGTCCTGAGCTGGGTCCATTTAGCTACATCAAAACTGTGTGAAAAATGACAAAATTAAATGTGTTTTCAAAGTGTTCAATCAGCTGAAAATAATGAGAAAGATACTTCCTTTAAAATAAATAGTATATTTCAGGCAGGTTTGTCACATGAATCCTGACCAACTTTGAAACCTGACAGGCATCTTCATGGTACAATTAATGCATTCTGACACCATTTTAACTATGGAATCATGGATTTTGCATTAGTTCTACAGTGTAGATATAACCTAGATATCTACTAATTGGATATACCTGATTGCAGAATACCAGATTGTGGAACGTAGGTAGTCTTATACCACCTCAGACCCTTGGTTCATCTACTGTGTTCTCCTCTTTGATTAGCAGCAATGGTTCTTCAAGATTTGAGGAAGAATTCTTTCCCAGCAATATTTGATAATATCTGGTGTTTCCTGGTGACTATCCATTCAAGTGTTAAAAAGACTCAGCTATGGGTTTTTGTAGGTTTTTTCGGGCTATATGGCCATGTTCTAGAGGCATTCTCTCCTGACATTTCACCTGCATCTATGGCAAGCATCCTCAGAGGTAGTGAGGTCTGTTGGAAGTAGGAACATGGGTTTATATATCTGTGGAATGACCAGGGTGGGACAAAGGACTCTTGAAATCCACAAGCATGTGGACAATTTCAACAGAAAGGAGGAAACTATGAAAATGAACAAAATTTGGTTACCAGTATTTAAAAACTCTAAAATTACAACAGCAAAACAGCAGAGAGGAAACAATCAGGAACATCTAATCACCTCTCAACAAAAGATTGCCCCAGGCACTGCCAGGCCATCAAATGCTAATCAAGGTGGTCAGTTGAAACATTCACGCCTGGCTCCAGCAGACAAGAGTCCTTTGTCCCACCCTGGTCATTCCACAGATATATAAACCCATTTTCCTAGTTCCAACAGACCTCACTACCTCTGAGGATGCTTGCCACAGATGCAGGCGAAACGTCAGGAGAGAATGCCTCTAGAACATGGCCATACATGAAAAAACCTACAACAACCCAGTGATTCCGGCCATGAAAGCCTTCGACAATACACAGACTCAGCCATGTTTAGCTTTACCAAATTAGACATGCTCAAGTACGTTGTGTGATGACATGGTGTGATAATGGAAGAGACAGCGAGAAAGTTTAATCCAAGGAAAGTATTCACTTGTTTCATGCACTATTTAAGCAAACACCCTTATAATTCATGCTCATTTTCTGCTGAAAAACCCCCTCTAATATAACACTAATGTGTTGTCCTGTAAGCACAATTGCTGCAGAAGTACAGAATTGGTCCACAAAGTATGCATTTCAATAGCAGTAATTGTGCAGAAAAACCCATTTTAATGTGTCTGACATCTGCTATTTTGGCAGGCCTTAAATATGAGTCATAACCTAATACAGAAAGGAAAAAGAGAGAGTGGTGAAACTTGTTGAAGTGCTTGTCTGTCAAAGACAAGTAATCCTGGCCTTTATTCATCTAATAAATGATGCCTTTCACAATGGAAGATGAGGGTCAGTTTGCAAGTGTATTGTTGGATTTGATTATACCCTCAGCTGCAGCAACTGGATTTCTTTGTGGTTTGATCGGCAGGTGTGGTGCAAGATTACCGTGGTGATGTTTATTTATTTCCTGGCGACCAACTACTACTGGATCTTGGTTGAAGGCCTCTATCTGCACAGCTTAATATTTGTGGCTTTCTTTTCGGATACCAAGTACCTGTGGGGATTTATCTTGGCAGGCTGGGGTAAGGTACACCATCTGTCATTCAAGCAATATATCTGCACTGAAAGCTAAATTAGAGCTGTTCATTATAGAGTGAATAGATTTGTAGCTGTCATATAGTTGCCGTTTTGTCATTTTTCTAAAACGCAAAATTGTACGACCAGATACAGATTGGGAATTCCTTTTATAGAACTCCAAAAGTTTTAACTTTTTTGCTGATGGCACCACTTTCACCTTTGAGGAAAGGGGGCTAACCACACATTTAGCACCTACTGATTTTTATTATTTTTTTTTGCTAAAGAAGCTCTTACTCCACCACAGACAGACATTTGATGAACGGGAAGGTACGAGGAAGGACTCTGGGTCCTGTGGCCTGATTTAACAGGCATTAGGGTGCTGAAGTGTTGTAGTGGGTTAAACCACTGAGCTGCAGAATTTGTTGACCGAAAGGTTGACGGTTCAACTCTGTGGAGCAGGGTGAGCTCCTGTCATAAGCCCCAGCTTCTGCCAACCTAACAGTTTGAAAACATGCAAATGTGAGTAGATCAATACGTAAGTTTTGGCGGAAAGGTAACAGCACTCCATGCAGTCATGCTAACCCCATGACCTAGGAAATGTCTACGGACAATGTCTGTGCTGGCACGGCTGTGCCAGGAGATTTGATTCTTTTTCTTGCACTGTTAGTTTGCATGAATCTATTCAAGCTATGCTTTTTTTTGCAATTGGGTAGCTTTCCCCAGGTTGCAACCATAAGGGCAACAACCTATCAATCATCATTAGAGCCTTTAGATCCGCTCCTTTCCCCAGGTTTTGGTGGGAAAAGGGGACTTTCAGTTCAGTCTCACAGTTTGGAGCCCTACAGTATTTATTTCAGACATTTCTACCCCGCCCTTCTCACCCCCTGGGGGGGACTCAGGGTGGCTTACATCTGGCACAATTCGATGCCAACAATTACAATAAAATGCAATAACAATAACACAATAGTTAAAAACATACAATTAATACAATATCAACTAAAAAACCGCTCTATAGCCCGCGTTCCTTGAGTTCTAAAATCCGTCAATCCATTTAGCATTACCATAGTCCTTTCCAACTCTAGTCATCATTACCTTTTTAATCTGCCAGATTGCCCAAATGCCTGGTCACATATTCATGTCTTCAGCTTCCTTCTAAAGGAGAGGAGGGATGTTGATGACCTGATTTTCCCGGGGATGGATTCCACAGGTGAGGGGCCACCACTGAGAAGGCCCTGTCCCTCGTCCCCACCAGTCTCACTTGTGATAAAGGTGGGGCCGAGAGCAGGGCCTCCCCAGAAGATCTTAAACTCCGTGGTGGGACATAGAAGGAGATACGTTTGGACAGGTACGCTGGGCCGGTGCCGTATAGGGTTTTATAGGTCAAAACCAGCACTTTGAATTGTGCTCGGAACTGGATTGGCAGCCAGTGGAGCTGACATAGCAGAGGAGTGGTGTGCTCCCTGTATGACGCTCCGGTGATTAATCTGGCTGCCGTCCGTTGGACTAGTTGAAATTTCCGAACAGTCTTCAAAGGCAACCCCACTGCGTTGCAGTAATCTATTCGGGATGTAACAAGGGCGTGGACCACTGTGGCCAGATCAGACTTCCCAAGGTACGGGCGCAGCTGGCGCACAAGTTTTAATTGTGCAAAAGCTCTCCCAGCCACCATAGGACGTGTGGGCTTTTCTCTACCCCACCTGTAAAAAGCTTCGCTTCTTACAGCTCTGCCGGGGCCAAAGATATAGATCTACAGCCAGCTTTTGCTGGGGAAAAAGGGAAAACCTCTACAGCTTTGCTGGGGAGTAAAGTTACAGTTCCACAGCTTTGCTAGAGGAATACAGCCAGTCTTTGCTGGGCAAAGAAATAGTTCCTACAGCCTTCGTGGAGAAACTAAAAGGACACCAGCTTGACAGATCTGCAGCAACCATTGCCTGGTAAGGGACCACTCGGGCAATCCATAACACAGCTTGGAGCCGGGAGTTGGGGCCTCACGCCAGCAGGGTTAAGAAAGTTTGCCCAAGGAGGGTTCGGAACATTTCCCTAAAGAGGAAAGGAACAGTTTTTCAAGCAGTTGCCTGTCCCTTGTCAGCAGATCGAGAAAGCTACCAGTTTTTCAAGATTATATGACATTTTATTCATTTGTTCGAAGATTTAAGCCTTAATAAAAACTTTGTTGGACTTAGAGCCTCTACAGAACTTTGTTTTGGGAAACCTGTGGGACCCTTTAGCTGAGGCACCCTGGTGTCCCGTTGGGTATACAGAAAGCATGTCCTATAAACAGACATTGTCACAGGCCCAGCGCGCGACAGCACAATGCCATCTTTTTGGCTTAGAAATCGAGATGAGCACAACCCCTCCGAGCTGGACTCAACTAGATTTAATGTCAAGGGGAAACCTTTACCTTGGGGAGGGAGAAGTCCAATGAATGCATTTGCTGCAACTCAGGAAATGTTGGAAAGATTTTGCCACACTCCCCCTTTGTGCTTCATTTCTAGGATGCCTGTCTCGCTGTACACTGTAATTGCCTTTCTACAGCAATATGCATTTTGATTCTTTTCTTTCCTGACATCTGCTTTTTGCATAGGCGTTGTGTAAGCCAAGCCACAGGACCCAGAATCCTCCCTCTTACCTTTCTCCTGTGAAATGTTTGACACTAGTGGGGCAAGAGCTCCTTAACAAAACCTCAGCAGGTCCTGGAGGTGTAGCTAGCCTCCTTTCCTACATCCCTCATTCATTATGTATATGCAAACACAGGAGTTCCAAAAACTGAAGGAAAAAAAATCCTCAAAACCTATGATCCCAAGCACTTCAGATAAAGATTTGACTTGCAGTGATGTGCTGTATATGTTTACTCAAAAGTGAGTTTTAGGACATAGTTTTGTTATAAATATAACTGTATCCCTAGGGAATTTGGGGGGGAGGGGGAATGTGGTTCTCTAAGACCTTTTTACACGGCTATATAATCTAGATCAGGGGTTCTCAAACTTTTTAAACAGAGGGCCAGGTCACAGTCCCTCAAGATGTTGGAGGGCTGGATTATAATTTGAAAAAACATGAATGAATTCCTATACACACTGCACATATCTTATTTGTAGTGCAAAAAAACAAACAAAAACAAAACCCAGTTACAATAATTAAAATGAAGAACAATTTTGACAATTATAAACTTATTAGTATTTCAGTGAGAAGTGTGGGCCTGCTTTTGAGATAGGATTGTTGTTGTTGTGTGCTTTCAAGTGGTTTCAGACTTAAGTTGACCCTGAGCGAGGGCCGGGTAAATTACCTCGGAGGGCCGCATCCGGCCCCCGGGCCTTAGTTTGAGGACCCCTGGTCTACACAGCCATATAATCCAGGTCAAAGCAGATAATCTGGATTTTATATGGCAGTGTGTTGTTGTTGTTCATTCGTTCAGTCGTCTCCGACTCTTCGTGACCTCATGGACCAGTCCACGCCAGAGCTCCCTGTCGGCCGTCACCACCCCCAGCTCCTTCAAGGTCAGTCCAGTCACTTCAAGGATGCCATCCATCCATCTTGCCCTTGGTTGGCCCCTTCTTCCTTTTGCCTTCCACTTTCCCCAGCATAATTGTCTTCTCTAGGCTTTGCTGTCTCCTCATGATGTGGCCAAAGTACTTCAACTTTGTCTCTAGTATCCTTCCCTCCAGTGAGCAGTCGGGCTTTATTTCCTGGAGGATGCACTGGTTGGATCTTCTCGCAGTCCAAGGCACTCTCAGAACTTTCCTCCAACACCACAGCTCAAAAGCATCGATCTTCCTTCGCTCAGCCTTCCCTAAGGTCCAGCTCTCACATCCGTAGTTGACTACAGGGAATACCATGGCTTTGACTAGGCGGATCTTTGTTGCCAGTCTGATGTCTCTACTCTTTACTATTTTATCGAGACTGGACATTGCTCTCCTCCCAAGAAGTAAGCGTCTTCTGATTTCCTGCCACAGTCTGCATCTGCAGTAATCTTTGCACCTAGAAATACAAAGTCTGTCACGGCCTCCACATTTTCTCCCTCTATTTCCCAGTTGTCAATCATTCTTGTTGCCATAATCTTGGTTTTTTTGATGTTTAGCTGCAACCCGGCTTTTGTGCTTTCTTCTTTCACCTTGATTAGAAGGCTCCTCAGCTCCTCCTCGCTTTCGGCCATCAGAGTGGTGTCATCTGCATATCTGAGGTTGTTAATGTTTCTTCCAGCAATTTTCACCCCAGCTTTGCATTCATCAAGCCCCGCACATCGCATGATGTGTTCTGCATACAAGTTAAAAAGGTTGGGTGAGAGGATGCAGCCTTGCCGTACGCCTTTCCCAATCTTGAACCAGTCTGTTGTTCCATGGTCAGTTCTTACTGTTGCTACTTGGTCGTTGTACAGATTCCTCAGGAGAGAGACAAGGTGGCTTGGGATGCCCATCCCACTAAGAACTTGCCACAATTTATTATGATCCACACAGTCAAAGGCTTTAGAATAGTCAATGAAGCAGAAGTAGATATTTTTCTGAAACTCCCTGCCTTTTTCCATTATCCAGCGGATATTGGCAATCTGGTCTCTCGTTCCTCTGCCTTTTCTAAACCCAGCTTGAACATCTGGCAACTCTCGCTCCATGTATTGCTGGAGTCTTCCTTGCAGGATCTTGAGCATTACCTTACTGGCATGAGAAATAAGGGCCACCGTACAGAAGTTGGAGCAGTCTTTTGCATTTCCCTTTTTTGGTATGGGGATATAAGTTGATTTTTTCCAGTCTGATGGCCATTCTTGTGTTTTCCATATTTGCTGGCATATGGCATGCATCACCTTGACAGCATCATCTTTTAAGATTTTAAACAGTTCAGCTGGGATCCCGTCATCTCCTGCTGCCTTGTTGTTAGCAATGCTTCTTAAGGCCCATTCAACCTCACTCCTCAGGATGTCTAGTTCTAATTCATTCACCACACCGTCAAAACTATCCTCGATATTATTATCCTTCCTATACAGATCTTCTGTATAGTCTCGCCACCTTCTCTTGAT